TGTGTCGGTGGGCGACCAGGATCCGAACCTGCGAACCCTGGGCAGCACACTTAACTGCTACGCCACCCGGCCAGCCCCACAAAAGAGCTTTTTAAAGGATCTAAATCACTGATAGAGTAGAAATTGTTTTGAAATTTAAACACATAGTCATTTTTGGAGGGCGGTACCAAACTTTTACAGAATTAGTTCAAAAATAAAATATTTTGGATTTTGGAGGTGGAGATCTTATTTGTACTATATATAGTGAGTATAATTAATTATAGAAATAGAGTTTTTGCTAGATGATTGCTTTAATCTCAGCCACATGAGGTAAAAATTTCCAGTTTCGTCTCTAGGGATACAGGGACTTTAAACAATTAACTAGGAGGAAGTTTGCTATAAAAGCAAGTGTTTTCAATCCATCTGGGTAGAAATGATTCAGGAAAATGTGTCACTCAAGGACTTCTTCCGAGTCCATGCCAGAAACTGCTCTGGCCGTAAGCGCAGGCAGGCAGGCAGAGCACTTGAGTCACACGGGAGGTTTAAGATGTAAATTCAATTTCTTAGAGCTGCAGAGGTGACTCAGAGAGGCAAAGAGGAAAAGGTAAAGTAGACAACACATCCAGTTCAGGAACACTCGGAGGGCAGAGACAAAGCCGAAGGTGAAAGAAATAAAGATGGTGATGGAGGTTTATCCAAATGATGGTGGACATTTGTTCTTTAGGAATGTAATCATATGTGCCAGAGTAATACAAAGGCCATGCTCTCTTTACTGCAAGAATTTTACAAACCAGGACCATAACCAGCCATTCCCTTACCAAGAAAGACAAAGCGATGACTGTATCTACAAGTTGTTTCTCCACAGATAAGACATTTCCAATGGGGATGCATGCAAATGAGTGTCATTCTCATAGGACATGCCCAGGGGCACACACTGGCCACTCCATCTCCCTGCGAGCGTCTGCATGAGACATACTCAGTGCAGTGCATGGGGACTGGACAAGGAGGGGCAGCTGCTCCCCTGGGCTCAGGAAGCAATTTTGATTGTGGTGAGGAAGCCACTCCTGGGCTCCAGAAAAGAGTAGCGGGTCTGCTTAGTCCCTTTCACTTTGCTGCTTCCAGCTTGGAAGAGAGGGGAAAGGGAAAGAACCCAGCATGCAGGTTATAAACCAAGCACTTTACGTTGGTTTTCTCTCCTGATCCTCCCAACATCCTGGGTGAGGTGGTATCTGTGACTCGAGTGAACCAGTGAGAAAACAGAACCGGGGGGATGAGGTGGTTTCAGGGTTTCAGAGCTGGGGTGGGGATGGAATGTCGGTGGTTCCAGAGCAGATCCCAGAAGGGATAAAATTTGATCACTCCTGGTAATTATTTCCTCAGAAGGTGCTCCACATTCTTTTCCTTTCCCCATTTCATCCCACAAAATGTAGCTGTATGTCCTTGCCTCAAGCACAGCTAAAAGCAAGAAGCAAGGATCACAACATTCTAATGGGGGCAGAGTCTTAGGGATCAAGCGGCACGGACCACTCATTTTACAGACAGGGCACTTGGGTCTCAGAGGTTAAGTGACCTGCCCAGGGCCTCTTGTGGCAGAGCACGTGGAG